TATTTGTTTTTTTTATTTATGGTTTTTAATAATTTATTTACTTCAAATCCTATAAAAATGCAAAAATGTAATGGAAAATTAATAAAATATATTCAAAGTTAAAGTTATTGAATTATATTAATTTAATCTTAGTATTCTCGGAAAATGTTTTACAAAACGTATTCTTTTGTTTTAATTTTTGTGTGTTGTATTTATTTTAGAGATGTTTTTGCAAACATATTTATAAAGGACAATGTAATTTAAATAAAGTTTATTAAACTATGTTTAATTTAATAATTTAGTTATAATACTTTATATTTATCTTTTATACAATATCTGGTAATAAAAAACATACAACAATTCCTTACAATTATGAAAGTCATATAATTTACTTCTTCATATGTACTTTATATTCAAATAAATAATTTTTTATAGATACTGCAGTTATAAATACAAAATTTTTATTATACACTCAAATACGTTTTTTTTTTTTTAGACAGGAACACTAATTTATCATATGACGGATGATGTAAGTTTTTGATCATTGCTAAAATTAGCGTCAATACATTTTATGAATTGAACTTTACATTTTAATTTAAGTCAATATTATATTTCAATACAATATAATATAATATAATATCAATTTATATTCAACAATTATATAATAGCTTACATAGACTTTAATTGTGTTTATAGTATATTGATAACACATAGATTATATTTCATTTTGCAATTTTTAATAAAAACATCTTGTCAAAATTTTCTTTTTTTTAGAGTTCCAAACAGTTTGGGAATCTTAATATGGTAAGAAATTATTTTATGTAAACATTGTAGTATGTTTTAATATTGAGTAAATACGGGATAATGATATGAGGGGCATCTATCCAAAGACTGCCCCAGCAAGAAAAAAGGTCGGGACTTTAACACGACCAATAGATGAGATGATAGACTACCCCCACCTCCACGTGGTCCAACCCGAGCAACGGCCCCACCGCTTGAGTAGGACTAACGAGGAAGGCAGCGCCGCGTTGTGATTTGGCTATAGATTAATATCGGGTCGTATCACAACGCAGTGGTGAGAAGATTTTAAGGCGACATGGGCCGCCCTGAAGCAATGCTTCACGGCAGTTCCAAGGCGGTTCACATTAAGTCGGTTATAGGAGAGAAAAAAAAGGGATAATGATGTGCAATTATTATTGTCATTATTAAGTAAGACATTTTGTTTTTTTTATTTTACGACTTGCATTATTGCGAACCGCCCTGGAACTGCCGTTGGGTATTACTTAAAGCGTTTGCGCCATCTCTATAACTCACATCACTGTGTGACCTTTATCATTATCCGGGTCTAAAAATCGGGTTCGTTACCCTGGCCGCTTCACATGGAGATGGATGTATGACTTTGCGAAAGTCTTAAACACACATAAAGATTTTCTAAAGTGCCGGCCTGAACCAGCGCTTCTATTTCAGATGTTCGGTCGATTTGCCTTTTCTTCCTTTAATTTTTATATCATCGTCCCTCAATATTATCCTTAAAAATTGAAAACATTTTTCGCATTCCCCGTAAATGGAGGAAATTTCTAAAGAAAATACAAATTTTAAAATTGCTAATTTTCGACATTTTTTCAATTTTTGTTACTTTTTACTTACGTTCATTTGACGTACATGCGCACGAAATTCTATAGGATTTACAGTAGAACCGTTGTTTTACTGTTCGATAGTTATTTTTCTATCCTAGGTGACATTCTAAGGGGTCGTCGTGGTAATACCATATTAGGTGTTGTAATTTGTTACTTGGTACGAC